TATTCATCAGTATGACTTCTGAAGAGGCCAAATTGACCATGGTCTTTCGACCGGAATGCACGCAATGATGTGAAATGGAAAAAAACTGTACAGTTTATTTCTTGACTTCCCAGTTTTAACTTAGCTTCATCCAGTCCCTATTGTAAGCACCCGTATTTCGATAGAGAAATCCGTTTCTTGTTCGAGTGATTTCTGATTTCGCTCGTTCTATTTCACAGATGAATAGGATATCTGTGAAAGATAACTTAGGTATCCGAAAACTACCCGACATTGGCAATTATATATAAACACAACAAACAAGAAGTCATATTTAGATCTGTTTCAGTCTATCAGTTCTGGATGATCTAATAGGAAGTTGTGGGTAATCGCAAAACGTTGTTCGGATAGAACAGTTAGAAATGAGTTTCAATAAACCTCGATCAAAACCCACATGTTGTATGGATGAGAACGCTGCCGAAGTATGAAGCATTTTGAATGGATTCTCCTTATTCATTATTCGATTGTTCTAATTGATAGTATTGACCGCGATCAGTGAAGTTCGTTTCACTGTATCTCGCTGTACGATGATAATGATGATGATGATGATGATGATGATGATGGTGATGATGGTGATGATGATGATGATGATGATGATGATGATGATGATGATGATGATGATGATGATCTAATTGATTGTTGTTGGAAGTGATAACTGACAATGACCAGATAGGTGAAAGAAAAGAAAGGCGTGAATGAGTTTATCATTTAACTCCTAACTACCCACGAGTTACGGGGTAGGCTAAAGATGATCAAATACAGCCTATATTGTTACAGCCTCTGAAAAGTCGAAACCACTCACTGTATCGTTTGAATTTAGCTGGATGTAGATAAGTGGCGTAATATATTGTCTTTTCCTAAATTATCAGTCCCAAGATAATGGTTCTAATTTTTTCGTCGATTGAAACCAGGAAAACCTCATATAATCGACTAGAAAAAACAAACTGCTGCCGGGAACACACTTTTGCCTTTCTAATTCGGTCTTATTCCATCAGTATCCAGAACAATGTTGTTCTTATCAATAAATCGTTTAGATCAAAACAGATACTGGTTCGTAGCATTCCCGATTGCGTTCACTCAGATAACTACATGTCTACGATCAAACATGTTGCAATATACGGGTGCTACAACAAATAAGAGATGCCTGATGATGTGTGTCCAGTATGTGTGAGACAGCAATAGGTTTCTCAAAATGACAGAAATCTATTACATTTGTCATTTTGGCTTCCGTTAACGGGTAGTTACATTTTTGGCATCAAATAAATCGTTTTGCAGGCCGATCTGGCGCAAGCATACACATCATTTGAGTATGTCTTCAGTCAGTAATCGTTTGGCGTGATTTTATGAGATACACATGTGAGGTGGTCGTGCATCCAGATGGGAAGGAAATACGCACGCATCGTGGCAAATCGTAGAGATAATAGGCCGAGACATGGGGATCAAACCACTTTGATGAGTTAGAGCACCAATGATCAAATTGACGAAATCCTGAAAGTTAATGTGTCCATATCAACAGCTATTGGAAAGCAAAGATTAAGTTGATGCGTGATTGCGTCTTGCGTTATTTATTTGCGTATGTTTCTGGAAAGAATTAACCGATTCCACAGCTTACATTAACTCTATTCACTTCGAGATATTCAGTGAGTTCCCACATCGCATTCAAGTTTGTTGTATTTGAGTTTGGGTATTATTCTGATAATCAGATGATTTGAGGACGGCTTTGCCAGAGTAGGGTGAACAAGATAACCTATTCTTTTTTTCACTGAGGATGGCTTCCAGAATCCAAAAGTAATCAACCACAGCGATGATTAGAAACTCTTTATTCTTATTAACGCAGTAATATTTGAATAACAGACGTATAGTAACTATCCAAGTGAGAGCTTTCTGTGGACAACGATTATCTTTAAGTCACCTTATTAAGGCAGAATCAGCAATTCATGTAGTCGAACACACTTAACAATAGGCCAATCTATTTCGCTGAGCAACATTGTTTATATTCTGCTGAAATATATATGCCTTTACATCAGCAATGAAATTGATAAATAACTTCAGCACCCGCGTGTAGAGATAGTCTCTCCTTCGCCGGAGGAGGTAAGGACGTAATCTTAGTTTGGTTGCACAATCCATTTGAATAAATGAAGAATTCAAGCGATTTTCCCAAGGTATTAAGCGTCATTGAATGCGGATGAAATATATGGCATTGTGTTGACGAAAAATCCGTTCCCGATCGTCAACAGAGTCTACAGGTGGTAACGACCAACTACTGAGGCGGTGTAAGCTAGCCGCATCAATAAAGAAGCTATGATTACCAGTGAAATATCGGCTTCGGGTTTACCAACAGAAGAGAATAAAGAAAAAGTCAAAGGGAAGTGAATACAGAACTTGAATAAAAACTGCGTGTGTGAAAGAATTCGAAACGAATGATGACATGTGAACACCTAATGATGATTCAAATTGGAACTGAACTTAGATACTACTTGTGAGTAGGCTGAGACCATTCAAACATTTTCCATTATCCAAAGTCTGATTAATCGAAACATTCCACTTGCACTCAGTTGCCCGTCAGTCGGAGACGGATCCCTTCAGAAAATTGAAAACACTTGAAACTCGACAGAGGAAAAAATCAACGAAGACAATTGAACGGGATTCAAAGGATGATGAGGAGACGACATCCGACGAACAAGACAGCGATTCACAAAACGTGAACGAACATTCGACACATATTCCCACCAAACTGGAGCGAGTAAGCTGGTTATTCAGTATCTATATCTTTCACACAGGAGTGTTTTGATATATAGCTTCAAAAATCATGTTTTTTATCAAAGTGAAGTAAATCAAATGTTTCATACATACAGTTCCCTTAACGAATTTCATCACGGCGAGGAAGAACCACATTTCAACAGGATAACATGAATTCAGTTATTTCGGGTACTCTCCATCAGCTGCATACGTACAATGGCAATCAAGGTTAAACAACAATAACCTTTGTTGTTGTTTAACCTTGATTGCCATTGTACGTATGCAGCTGATTAAGAGTACCCAAAATAACTGAATTCATGTTATCCTGTTGAAATGTGGTTCTTCCTCGCCGTGATGAAATCAAATGTTGCTTATGAAGGATAGTTTGCCTAGGCCACGTAGCTTGTAATCCCAACGGGATGCGTTTCGTAAGCAGATGAGGATAACAGCCTGCCAACAGCTTTTACTCACGAAATGCTCCTTTAGGAATGAACTCGACTGAAGCTTTTTCGCACAATAACAGTTAGATTATTCCGCAGTTTTGCTTTTAGACAATGGCACTTTTGAATTCAAAATGTTGCATTGCTGGAGTTTAATGTGCTGTTTGAAGTTGTCTTTCTCCTCACTGTGATCCCAATAAAAACCAGAGTTACCAGCAACTCGTTTTGTACATGATCCAGGCCTTATCTTTAGTGGTTTATCCATACGTCTAAGTTAATTCCGAATTTGTTCTTGATTTATTGGATCTTTGATTTTTTGGGGTTGAGGTGTAAAACATAGCTGAACATATCTTCTCGAGTGAAACAAAGTGAATTCCGCATTTGGCTTGTAACTTCTGTCTTTATTGTGATTTGAATAATCCATTGTGTTTGGTTTACTGCATGGATACTCAACAAACGATGATTAATCTTTTGTAGCAACGGGGATCTTATGAACAAAGCAGGGTCAGTTAAGTGTCCAATACAAATAATAACCCGGGTCATTGTCATTCCACTGTTTAGGTTTAACGTAGTTGCACAGCACAACTTGGTTCAAGCACCCTGACATCTGTAGTCAAAGGGTGATTACTTCATGAGCCTAAGTAATAATGACTGATCAGTTGTCAATCACGTAATGTAATGCAAAGTGTACGGTGAAACAAAAAATTGTCATCCCATTTTAACAGTTCCATCTTTTTCCTATATTCTGTATCCCAACATCCCCTCCCGTTATTGTCAAGGTTATTATTGTTTTGGCGTTGGAACCATGCTTGTCCGCAAGCCGGTGATATATATATATGCAATGGCTGCGCACACTGGAATATTCCAATGATTAATTGTTCACACTACACACCTACAGTTGTGACTCTTTGTCCTCATGCTTTCATCGAGTGAAACATGAGGTAGTTCAAATAACTGTTTTCACATTGGACAACCAAAATAGACCCATTCAAAACTTAGGTACTGACCGAACAGGCGACTCCAAACACCAATATTCTAGTTTGATATAGCCATTCACTCGAAGTGCTGACTGTGGACGTGTAGCCCGGGGCTAATGGTTTAATTCCCCACCTGAGGGTTGATAGTTTTAGTCCTAAAGGATGCTGGGGGGGAGGCACAAATGTAAACGCTGCTGATACGTACCAAGAAGAACGAAAGAGATGTCTAGTCTATTTCATCAGTCATAGTAACCAGTTTCATTGCTGAGGACACTGATTATGCCCTCTTAAGCCTTCTAATCTGTGAATTTTTAATCGCGAACGTTTTTGAACACATCGTCCTACTTTATCTTACTCTTAGTCTGCTACCAAAATCAGATTTGAGATAGTATAAAATCATTTAAGTCGTATAATATACGGGTTAGATTCAGAATTCATGCCAAACTGTATTCTTTGCTAATCAGCATCTTCGAAATAAATGTGGAAGAACGTTCATTATGTTTTGTAAATAATGAACGCTTTCCGTAGTAAATGACTGCATTTTGTGTACTCTTAATGGACAAAAAGTATGATCGTACAAGGTTTGCACTTTATTACTGCATGTGAATTACGGCTAGAGAGAAAATCACATCCAGCACGTCATATTCTGAGAAAAAATGGTCCCGAAAACACAAGCACAAGCACTCACAACCGCATGCCAGGCAAGCGTGCAGGATTCAAACAAATTATTGAATGCGCTCTCCGGCGGACTGTTTTTGATGCACGATATCACACTTACAAACACGAACTTATCCCGTTTTATCCGCAGGAGATGCTCGATAATGCGCTGAGACGTACGCGGGAAAATATTGTTCAACCGCAACGTGTCGGGGTTCGAGAATTCCACGGAAAGCCCTTTATGATTAGTCCAAAAGAGATCTGGTTCAAGGTAAGCGATTGAATTGTTTGCGTCTAGTAGTCGCTACAGTTATCTTCCGTTTTTCTTACTCTGTGCACAAACCTGGTTTATCCGAAAGCAACCTGCACCCCTGGAATAACCGGTATGGAGACTGAATTGTCTTCAAGAATTTTCGTGATGTGTTCTACCTGCAAAATAATTTTGGAGTAGAAATAAAGTAGTATTGGACGATCTAGCATCCTGGAATGGAAACAAAGCTAGCCCCTGCCGATACAATTAATAGCATTACTGTAATCAACGGACCACACAAAATGCTGTACCATGCATGTCTAGGGATTGCAAAACCGAGTTTACCATGTGCGCAAGAGCGTCCAATGTAGGACATTGTTTGCGATAAGCGAATTGACAGCGATCTAACTAACCAGTGTTAGGAATAATGTTACTAAACATAAACTTTTCGAAAGTTTTTAGTAAAACAGAAGTGAATGCGATGGGTCATAATTTCGCAGCTTCCTTTTTAGGGACTGGCGTGATGCGCGCAGGTCTCCAGGTCGACAAATGTTTGTTCTTCAAAGCAACGGTTGAAGAAGTGGTAAATGGCTCAGTCAGATAATAACCACATTCCTTGAGGATGACTGAATATAGCCAGTCGGGGCCAGAAGCTTTTGATTTTTGAGGCACATCCGATTTTTTCCTCACATTATTAGAATTGAAATGCGAAACTACGCGATGGTCAATTGATTGGAAATATTAATTTGATACTTCAGTTTCATTTCACATGGAAAACATGCAGTTGAGTTTGGCTGTTTTGGGTTGAGGCCCGCATAGTCTGACTTTTGTTCCTCAGAGGATCTACATAGAAGTCCATATTCGCTTGTGTAGTTTTTCACGATTTTGGATCTTAGTCTTATTTAACACTGAAGTTTGCCTTATTTAAACTGGGTCACGATTTTTATATGCCCATTTATTTCTTCTTCCGAAGATCTTCAAATTGGGAGAAGAAAACCTGGTGGGGCTGATGCACATAAAGGCCAAGAGGCAGCAGGGGTCAAACCAGAAGTTTAAATAG